TCTCACATCAAACACACAAATTAATTGATGATAGCAGTCCTAAATTTCTATGTACCTACTAACATAGCATCACAATAAATAAAGCAAAAATTGACAGAAGCAAAAGGAGAAATTGGCAAAAATAATATAATCACACTGAGAGAATTTTATATGACTTCCTCAGTTATTGATAGAACAAGATATAAAAGATTTGGACAACACAATTTATAAACTTAACCATTCGTTGAGCCATAAAACAATTTTCAACAAATGTCAAAGGTTTGAAGTCACTTAGAATGTTATTGTATGAATACAATAAAATTATTTTTTTAATATATTTTTATTGATTTCAGAAAGGAAGGGAGAGGGAGAGAGAGATAGAAACATCACTGATGAGAATCATTGATTGGCTGCCTCCTGCACACCCCCTACTGGGGAATGGGCCTGAAATACAGGCATGAACCCTGACCAGGGAGTCCAACTGGAATCAGACTGTGACCTCCTGGTTAATAGATGCTCACACACTGAGCCACAGTGGCTGGGCTACGATATTAAAGTAGAAAACAGTGTCAAAAAGATATCAATAGATTTCCTTTACGTAAGTAATACACTTCTAAATACTTATGGGTAAGAGAAAAATCCTAACAGAAATCAGAAAATATTTGGAATTGGAGGAAAATTTTTAAAATTTAAATGCTACATATTAATATGTGGGAAGCAGGCACATTATTTCCCTCTAAAATGATTGGAGGGATGTTTAAATCCTTTGCTGAAGTTGCTAGAAGAGAAAAAAGGTTAAAACATTAATGAGGAAAGCAACCATCTTAAGAAATTAGAAAGAGTAATAAAATAAACTCAAGGAAAGTAGAAGGAAGGAAAAATTAGTTTTAAGAATGTAAAAGTGAAATAGAAATTAAATTTCCAATAGACAAGATCAACAAAGCAAAAGTTGGTTCTTTGAAAAGATTAACAAAATTGATAAACCACTGGCAAGACTGATGAAGAGAAAAAAAAGAGAGAGAAGGCACAAATAACCAATGTCAAGAATAAAAATGGAAGATGGTTACAGATCCTGTATATATTTGTACAAAAATAACAGGGTAGCCCAGCCGGGTGTGGCTCAGCAGTGGAGCATCAACCCAGGAACCAAGAGGTCACCGGTTTGATTCCTGTTCAGGGCATATGCCCAGGTTGTGGGCTCCATACCCAGTGGGGGGCGTGCAGGAGGCAGCCAATCAATGATTCACTGATGTTTCTATCTCTCTCTCCCTCTCCCTTCCTCTCTGAAATCAATAAAAATATATTTTAAAAAATAACAGGGTATCATGAACAATTATGCCAATAAATTTGACATTTTATATGAGATGGACAAATTCCAAGATAACACAATATACCAAAACGACACCAAAATAATTTAAAAAATATAAATAGTCCTATGAAATGAACTTGAAGATACTGACTAATTTGGGTGCTGGATTTGTCACATTTTTCTGTTTCTTATGACTGCTAGTAATTTATTTATTGAATACTAGTCTTTGTGAAAGTCTGCTTTTTATTATTTTCTTTTTAAGTGTGTTGAGTTTTGTTTTGGCAGGTAGTTTAGTTATTTGCAGCTAAGTCTGATCCTATGAAGGCTTATTTTTAAGTTTTATTAGGAAAGCTATATCTAAAGTAACCTTTATTCTAGGGCTCATTTAGCTTACTCTTAATGCATAGCCTTCCCCAAATCTCTAAATGCTGTCCCACAAGATTTTTCCACTCCGGTTGTTTAGAATTCAGATGCCTTTCCGTGTTATATGAGCCCCAGTAGTTGTTGAGCCTATAGTAATTGAGCTTTCCCCAAGCTTCATTCATCTTCACTGTATATGTGCACAGCTTACTATTCAGCCCCAAACTCCGAATTATGAAGCAATTTGTTTGCATGGCTCCCTTCTCTCTGTTCCCCTTCCCTTCCAATTCTAACCACCTGAGTCTTCCCAAACTCTACTCTCTGTCTCATCTGCTGTGCTCTGCTAAGATCTCCCTCCTGTGCCGGAAGCCAGTAACTGCTTCCGGCACAAGGCCTTTCCCCATGGTCAGATTGTCCAATGTCTGAAAACAGATTATTCATATATTTAGTTTAGTTTTCTAGCTGCATACAGCAGGAACACTAGTCTGGTACCAGCCACTCTATCACATTTGAAAGCAGAAGGTTACCTTAGTTTTTTTAGATGTTTTCAAGACTTATCTGGGTAGTGAGATATATACCTTTTTTTGTATTTAAAAATAGAGCCTGATGTCATTTTTACAAAAGGAGGAGAGAATGTTTGCTTTTAAATATATATGTATGTTTTTATTGATTTCAGAGAGGAAAGGAGAGAGAGAGAGAGAGAGATAGAAACACCAATGATGAGAGAGAATCATTGATTAGCTGCCTCCTGCACGCATCGAGCCCAAAACCCAGGCATGTGCCTTGACTGGGGAGTTGAACTGTGACTTCCCGGTCCATAGGTCGACGCTCAACCACTGAGCCACAAGAGCTGGGCAAAAGAAAGATGTGTTTAACCTAAAACATCCAATATACAAGTTCATAGGTACATATTCTCATGTTTTCAGTTAGTAGTTAAAAAAAAAAAAAAAGAATAAGTCTGCAAGAGTAGCAATGTGGCATTAGCAGTGTTCCAGGCTGTCTGATCGGTCTGCCTTTCTTGGCCCAGATACAGGAGGAATGTGGTTCAACAGCAGCCACAGCGTTGTAAAAGGGGCCACAAGGCTGCACACGGGCAGTACTGAAGTGGTTAATCTTTCTTATGTAAGAGCAGAGCACTTAAAACATGAGTTACTTAAAATTCGGCTTAGCTTTATGGTGATTTAGAGTTTGTTTAATTAGTATTTGGAACTGCACATTGTTTATAGCTATTGGTATTTCAATAGATTCTTAAATGCTTGAACATTTGAAGTTTAATAAACCTTAGTTCTTCGAAGAAAAACATTGATGTAATTAAGTTTTCGATTACTCTGTTGTTGTATTTTAGGGGACCATGTAATTAATAAAAGCTAAGACATTTAACAACGCTCATTTAAAAACCTAGTCAACCACTTAATTAATTAGCTAATGCTTATAGTACATATTTTTAAATATAAAAGTCTCACATAAGCAGTCACAACTTTTGAAAAATACACATAATGACACATGAGAATAAATGAAAGCAACTTTGTTTCAGGATTATTTGAGTACACATGAATGCGTGGATCAATTATGGCTTTTCCAAAATCATTCTTACACACTCCTATCAATTACTGTTTGTTTGTTTGTTGTTTTAATTGTGTGGTCAAATTAAAAATACCGAAGCAATTGTTCCTCAGAGCTTCTTTGCCCTTAGCACATTCTAGAGCAGTGATGGCGAACCTATGACACGCGTGTCAGAGGTGACACTCGAACTCATTTTTTTGGTTGATTTTTCTTTGTTAAATGGCATTTAAATATATAAATAAATATCAAAAATATAAGTCTTTGTTTTACTATGGTTGCAAATATCAAAAAATTTCTATATGTGAGACGGCACCAGAGTGAAGTTAGGGTTTTTCAAAATGCTGACACGCTGAGCTCAAAAGGTTCGCCATCACTGTTCTAGAGCAGCGGTTTTCAACCTGTGGGTCGTGACCCCTTTGGGGGTCGAATGACCCTTTCACAGGGGTCGCCTAAGACCATCGGAAAACACATACATAATTACATATTGTTTTTGTGATTAATCGCTATGCTTTAATTATGTTCAATTTGTAACAATGAAAATACATCCTGCATATCAGATATTTACATGACGATTCATAACAGTAGCAAAATTACAGTTATGAAGTAGCAACGAAAATAATTTTATGGTTGGGGGGTCACCACAACATGAGGAACTGTATTAAAGGGTCGCGGCATTAGGAAGGTTGAGAACCACTGTTCTAGAGGATCTTACATGCAAGTTGGAAAAAAATAAAGTGGCAGAGGTGGTTCGGATTTAATATAGTCTTGTTTTAATTAAACATTAAATTTAAAGTGGAATAGGAGAAAATTTTCCATTCCCAGATCTTGGCACCCAAAGTTCAGCGCTAGCATCAGTATGACAAGGGCGCTTATGACAGACGCCCTCCCTCCCCCACGCCCCAACTACTGGATCAGAATCTGAACTTTCAAAACACCCCGGGGTTTAGTGTGCACATTAAAGACTGAGAAAGCTACAAAAGCAAGGTCAGTGTACTAGTCAGGAAAGTAACTTGCCAGAGTCTACTTGGATGGAGGGAAGGAACCCACAAGGAGCAGTTCCTATGCTTTCCTGGGATGAAGGTGGTGCGGCGATCCCTAGTCCTGCCACAAAGGATGGGCACTTTATCGAGTTTGGGAAGCAGGCTCACCAAGAAAGGCACAAGACTCGGCAGGCCATTCCCGCTGCCAAAGCGCCGTCCCCCCTCCCCTCGCCTGAACTGTCCTCAGCTACAGTGGATGCCATCTCCTGGGGAGGGCGGGGGCGGCGATGTGCTTCTTCCGTGGCCCCGCTGCCCTGAATGCCTGTGCGGGGCAGTCTCCGCTTTTGTCCCTAGAACTGTGGGGTCCCTGCGTGTGTGGAAGGACAGCCCTGAGCCTCAACCATGGGGACTTCCTTAATCCCAGCCCGGAAGGGACTAGGTATCCGGCACCGGCGGCAAACGTCCTTTCTCTCCGGGCAAACCGGACGCGGGTTTTCGGGTGGACCCGCAGCGAGAGAGAGGAAGAGCGGCCGCCCCGGGTCCCACAGCGCCGCCCCGCGGAAGCAGCTGGTGTCGCGGCCCAGCCCCGAGCGGTCTGCGATTTGCATACCCATCGTGCACCACGAAGACAGTACCCACGCGGGAGCTCCAGACCCGCGGGAACCTCCCACCGCCGCTGAGCACACAACTTGCTACCAAGGCAGGGTCTCCACGAGCGCCCGGCGGAGCGCGGACCCGCGGGCACGCGACCACCATAAGCGAGCTGAGGGTGAGCGTGGTCTAAGGCATCCGGGCGGACTTCGGCCAGCATACTCTGGTTTCTCTTCAGATCGTATAAATCTTTCGCCTTTTACTAAAGATTTCCGTGGAGAGGAACAATTGTGAGTTTTCACTCAATTTTTCGAGGCCTCGTTTTTACGAGGCTATTTTTCAAATGTCGAAAATTAGATCTAAGTTTCAGTAGTGTCTTTACCATGTAATAAGTTCCTTGCTGGAGACCTCAGTTGTGGATCTCCAAACTTGCAGGTGAGCACTAGACCCAAGGCTCATGCTCCTTTCTCTCTCAGGTCTCCTGCAAACTTTTATTGTTACATATTTATTTATTTTATGTTTTTTTTTATTGATTTCACAGAGGTAAGGAGAGGGTTAGAGAGATAGAAACATGGAGGGTTCGTACAAACTTTTAAGTCTGTGCTCTCCATCCTCTATGAAACAGTCCCACTCCCACGACATCACTGTTTATTCTTTTAACCGGCTTTATTTATTTTATTTTTATTTTTGTTAATCTTCACCTGAGGATATTTTCCCATTGAAATGGGCCAGGGCCCTTGACCATCATCGAACCCAGGACCCTGCAGTCCGCCGGCCAATGCTCTATCCACTGAGCCAAACTGGCTAGGGATTAACCCGCTTTATTTTTCTTCAGAACAGAAACTACTTCCTGATTATAGCATGCATTAATTTGTCTGCTGTATGTTTCTCCTCCTAGAATGGAAGTCCCGTGAGGCAGGGACTTCACCTGACTCTTGTTCTCTGATGGATTCCATGACCCCAAATCAATGTCTGGCCCATCAACACTCAGTGTATATTTGTGCAACAAATGGATAAATAGACTTATTTTCTAAACCAGAAACAGAGAGAGAGAGAGAGAGAGAGAGAGAGAGAGAGAGAGAGAGAGAGAGAGAACAAGACTGTAGAACACTAGGAGACTAGCATGAAAACCAAGAGAAGAGGCATTTCCTAAGGATAATTAACAGTAGTGACGCTCCCATTTATGGATAGCTCAAAACACCAGTATCTTGTTTTGTTTACTTACTAGAACACAGGTTTGTTATAAAATATGATTCAGGAGCAGCCAGATAGAAGAGATACATAGGGCAAGGCCAGAAAGGATGTCTATAAGAAAACAATAGTGGAACTGAGAAACATCTGGTGAGCTTCACCGTAAGAGAGGAGTTTTACAGTTCTTTCAGAAAGTGTAGGAAGGAAGTGGCATCAGAACTGTGTATAGAAAACTAAGCCAAAGAATAAGGCTCTAGTTAAGATATGACTGAATCCTGCCCCAAAAGTTAAATAAAACCATATGGCTCAGCTCTGAATAATATTTACATATTCCGATTAATATAAATACTGAATCTTTATTTAACCCCAAATTGTGACAGAATGATCTTGGGAGAATGGGAAAAGGTAAGTATGGGCTGATGGTAGAATAAGGGAAAGAGTGAGATAGGCAGAAGAAAACCAAATGCTCTGTTTTCCATAAAAGTGAGTAGATTAGCCGTAGCTGGTTTGGATAGAGCGTTGGCCCTCAGACTGAAGAGTCCTGGGTTGGATTCTGGTCAAGGACACATACCTTGGTTGCAGGCTGGATCCCTGACCCTGGTCAGGGCGCATGGAGGAGGCAACCAATTGATATGTCTCTCCCACATGGATGTTTCTCTTTCTTTCTTCCTTCCTCCCTCACCTTTCACTCTCTCTAAAACTCATAGAAAAAATATCCTCAGGTGAGGGTTAACAACAACAAAAAGACACTCATTATAGAAGTAGAATCAATAAAATTTGCTGATGTCTTCTTTATGTAGAGGACAGAGGGGAGGGACTAAAAGGAAGAAACAGCTAAGAATGACTCCCAGAATTCTGACTTGAGCAATTGGATGGAGGGTGGTTTTACATTCCCCGATGGAGGAAGACTGGGAAAGAAAGATACAAGTTTTAGCCCGGCTGGTGTGGCTCAGTGGTTGAATGTCGACCCATGAACCAGGAGATCATAGTTTGATTCCAGGTCAGGGTACATACCTGGTTGCAGGCTCAATCCCCAGTAGGAGGGGGGTGTGCAGGAGGCAGGCAGCCAATTGATGATTGTCTCTCATCATTGATGTTTCTATCTCTCTCTCCCTTTCCCTTCCTCTCTCTGAAATCAATAAAAACACATATTTTTCAAAGGTACCCGTTTTAGACAGAAAGGTTAAAAGTTGGGTATAGAATAAATTAAGATGCAGATACTTGAGATACCCCACTAGATTGGTCAGGTAATCAGTTCATTCATTGTCCTGCCTGTATTTCATCTTTTAGGACACCACAGGGGTTTGGGGCTCAGCAATGAAGTCCAGTCTAAAGTCAGTCTGGGGGATTGTTGGCATATAAATGACATTAGAAGTCATGAGACCATTTCGGGAAGTAATTTTCAAACCTGGATTGTGTGTTTACAGTGCAATTTTCAAGTCCCCATCCCAGAGTGTTTCCGATTCAGTAAGTCTCGGTGAGGTTCAGGAATCTGCTTTACTAAACGCCAACCTAGAAGGTTCTGATGCAGGTGGTCCAAGCTCAGATTGGAATGGGCTTAAGCACAATTCAAAAATGAGGAAGTAGTCACAGAAACCCTTTCCCGAAGTGAGAAAGAGAGGTTGTTATTATTAGGGGAGAAGAGTAAAAGACTTTTCCAGTCTTCCTCCATCGGGGAATGTAAAACCACCCTCCATCGAATTACTCAACTCAGAATTCTGGGAGGCAATGTGAGGTCAAGCAGAAAGTTATATATATTTTTGTATTACTAGGGTGTATTTTTTTTTAAGGTAAGAGACACTACAGCAGTGTTTCATAACTTTGGCTACACATTGTAATTACCTGCTGACCTGCTGAGTTTAAAAAATATATATACATCAATGCACAGCCTCCATTCCAAACCAGTAAATCAGCATCTCTGGAGGTGGGGCCATCACACTGTCCTGCCTTCCAACAGTCTTCATTTTGACCACTCCCCAAACCCACTCACCTCTCAAGACTCAGATTGTCTAGCAATACCTCCCCCTCGGCACCCCGTTGCTTCAGTCACCAACCGACCCTGCCTTCCCTTTCATCAAACCCTCTGACACTCTCAAACCCGCCTCGGTCCCAGACCCATCCTATCAGCATCATGAGATAACCTCAAGCCCAGCCCCCAGGACTTTACCAATAGGACCTAGAGGCCCCCTCTCCGCCCCCAGCCGCCCGCCCCGCCACTCGGTCACCATAGCAACCGGAGACACACACATCAGCCTGCAGCAACAAGGGGAGAGGAGTTCCTGGTACAGTTCTTTTATGTATTTCCTTTCCTTACCGCTTCCCGTGCCTGATGCGTGACTTTTATGGTCTGGTAAGAAAGCTCCATCAGACACTATGTTAGGCCCGAAGAGAAGGAGCCACTTGCTGATCAACGGGTAAGTAAATCCAAGAAAGACAGCTCGTAGAAATCGGACGCTTAACCCGCCTGCCCCTTACAGGATTGGCCAGAGCCTAGACAGGTCAGCCAATCACTGGGCACAGACGGATTCTTTATCATGCCAATCAATGTTAAAATTAACATGTCTAATTCAGAGTGTTTGCATGCCTCTGACCAATCAAGAGAGCGAGAGGGGATGATTGGCAGGGCTCGGGGCGGGTGTGTGTGTGTGTGTGTGTGTGTGTGTGTGTGTGTGTGTGCCCGCAATTGGTTTGGGTCTCTTAATTCTGTCTCTAAAATGCAAGTTAACTCAAGTTTATTTACCATAGAATTTGTCCTTGATTTGGGCGGTTGTTCAGGCTTTTGTGATCCACTGCTTATGTTCTCAAAAGACTATACTTATGACATCTCTTCTTCTCTAGGACCCCCTTTCCCTCCCCGTTAAGATCAAGGTTTGAAATTTCCTGCTTTACTTTGAAATTGCCTGTATGTATGTGGTCCATTTAGGCTGAAAAAAATCTGCTGTGGACTCATGTTTTAAATCCGATTTAAAAATGGGCAGAGGACTTGAATACACATAGAAATGGCCAACAGGTACATGAAAAAGTATTCAGTATCACTAATCATCAGGGAATTGCAAATGAAAGCCACAATGAGATTTCACTTCACACCTTTTAGAATGGATATTGCCAAAGAGACAAGAGAAAGCAAGTGTTGACAAGAATGTGCAGAAAAGGGAACCCTTGTGCACTATTGGTGAGGATGTAAATTGGTTCAGCTACTGTGGAAGTTTCTCAAAAAATTAAAAATGGAACTACCATAAGACCCTGCAATTGCACTTCTGGATATATATATCAGAAGGAAGTGAAATCATTATATTTTGAAGAGATTTCTGCATCCCATGTTCATAGCAGCATTATTTATAATAGCCAAGACATGGAAACAACTTAACAGTCCAAATGGTTATAGAAATACATATTTAAAGTGTCCAAAGGGAAAAAAAACAACAACCTCTCAACTTAGAATTCTATATCCAGTGAAAATATTGTTCAGAAATTAAGGTGATTTTGAAAGGGTGACTGCCAGGAGCTGGGAGGTCAGAAAGGAGGCTACAGAAGTAGTCTAGATCAGAAAAAATAGGACATGACCACTGAGTTACTCCTACAGTTAGTTTTCTAGAACAGAGAACTTATTACACTACTGCCTACAAAATCCTCTGTGGTGGCCCAGAGCATCCAAACCCCCCATCGTGACGTGTATATCCCTTCCAATATCATCTTACCCTGTTTTGAAATTAGTTTTAATTAAAGCCAACATTTTTTCTAGTTTCAATAGGTTTTATGAAAAAACAAAAGCAAATATATATATATATATGAATATTATACAGTTATTTTTTTTTTAAAAAAGAAATCTTGCCCTAACTGGTTTGGCTCAGTGGATAGAGTGTCACCCTATGGACAGTTACAGGCTCGACCCCTGGTGCCAGTCTGGCACCAGTGGGAGGCAACTAATCAATGTGTCTCTCTCACATTGATGTTTCTCTCTTTCTCTGTTCCTCCCTTCCACTCTCTCTAAAAAAATCTATGCAAAATATCTTTGGGTGAGTATTAACAACATACACACACAAAAAAATTCCCTATTCTTTCCTCCCCCCAACCCATGGCAGCCATGAATTTGACTAGGTACCGCATATAGGTGGAATTACATAGTAATCATCTTTTTGGGAC